ATATTATGGTACAATGAATGTCCAGTGCAATTACAGCAAGTGTGCTTTTTTTTTTTTTTTAAAGATTTATTTCCGCTTACAGAGCTGGGGTACAGGCCAGAAGTGTGATGGGTGAGAGGATTCACCAGAGACAGAGTGGGGAATAGAACAGGTGAGGGGAGCAGTGGGCAGGCAGGAGACGTCTGCCACACCATGTGGGTCAGCTCCCTGGCTGGGGATCAAACTCGTGCTGCAGCGGCTTCTGAGAGCTTCATAGTGCAGTGCTTTAACACACTGTGCCACCAGGGAGAGCCTGCAAGTGTGCTTTTTTAAAGGCCTTAGTGCAGCCCTTTCACTCATGGGGCCAATGGGCATCCTGTGGAGAGAATTGGTATTTGAGACTAAATGCTACTGAGCTTTCACCTTCAAGAGAGCGAAATCAGCAGTTTTTCCCAATGCACCATGGGTTTCTAGGCTTGGGGGTTGGGGGGAAACAAACTATTATGATCCTACAGGGACTTCACTGAGAAAATGAAACTTCCTCTGTGTTCCATCCCTTCTCTGAACCTGCCATCACCCCGATAAGGGTTATGCCCATGGCTAGGCTAGCTAGAAACTGGTGGGGCCTGCCTGTCAGTAGAGGCCAGGCAACAGATCCATAGAAAGCTCAGAAGTTAAGGAATCAAGTCAAAGCCACATCTGTACTCTTTGCAGAGGTGGGAAAAGTTGAGATTCTTTCCCTGCAGACTTTGGATAAGACTCTGAGGGATAGTCTGTGTGGAAAGCTTGTACAAAGGCCAAATCCATACCTGATCACCCCTGCCCATATTCTTGGGCAGTAAATAACTCTCAGTTTAAAAAAACAAGCTCTGGTCATACATTCCTGGTGGCTGGGGGGGACGGGGGGCTCTCTAGGTGTCTGAGTGCAGAACCCAGTGCTTTCAGCCTGGTTTCCCCCTTGCCACGCAGGTTTCCTCTTTGCAAGAATTGTGGTGGTCGTGGCCTTGAAAGTGACCCAGGAAAAGATTACATGGTTTAAAGTGAATCCCAAGGCCTCACCCAGCCCCCTCCACAGCAGGGCTGCACTACCGTCTATATCCCCAGTGCCTGGAATATTGGTGCAGTGAATCACAGCTGTGTCCTTCGGTGGCCAGCGTCTTCCTCAGAAGCGTTGTGTTGCCCAAGGTTACTCTCACTTTCAGGAGGTGGCCGGTGCTGGGGAACAAGCGTCCACCCCCTTCCTCAACCTGCATGACCCTGGCTTTGGAGAACCTGAACATACTGGGTGAAGCCTCGGCTGCACCTGCATGAAGGGCTAGGTCCTCACCCCTGCCCTCCCACCCCGAGGAGCAGCTCCGAGCACTGTCAATGGATCCTCTGTCACAGGCGACCCAGTGGAGGGACTTTTTCCTCAGGGCCACCCTCCCCTCTGGGGTCAGTGTTAAGATTTGGATTGTTAACATCACCCTAGAAAACAACTAGTTTCATCATTCGTAGGAAAACATTTTTGTCAGCTGTAAAGCTCCGAGTTTCATTTCCTCCTCCAGCAGCCCTGACCACCTAAGGAGGCCGATGGGAACCAGTGGGACCACCAGTGACAAAGCTACAGTGGCTCTGGAAACCTGCACCTGAAGTAATTTGAGAGACTGACTGGAAAGGATTTCCAAATACCACAAACATGTGTCATGTACAGAGAGTTGCCTGGGGAAGGCGGGGATGGGATGAGGGCGATATTGGAGGAAGATTGGGAAAGACGAGATCAGGAGCTAGAACTTTCTTTAGAGACAAGAGATTTTTGCTTAATTTCCTGAATTAGTTAACTTTTAATGGTTAAAAATTCCACATCTGTTAATTTACTGCAAGAGCCTTTGTAATATGAGAGCTGGTGGCCTTCCAGGAGAGGGGAACAGAGCTGGCCGTTTGTGCAAAGTGTTAAACCTCACTCACGATGTGAACATGCTGTGAGAGGCCCCACCTGTGTGTACAATGTACTTAAAGGATTAGAGCAAACTTTGAAATTATGATATGTTTTACCTAGAGTAAGCACCTTTCTCTTTAAGCTTCTATTTCCTTGAAGGAGGGGGAAGAAAACCATCAATTCTCTCAGGTAATCAGGGACATGAAACACTGCTGTGGGATTTCATGAAGGTTTAAGTGCAGACAGATGAAGGATGTGTTATTTTTATATTTTATTTTAAACCTATTTTCAATACTTGTGATTCCAATTCAAAGGTGTTGCTTGCAAGAGGTCTGTCTGCCCTGGAGGAAGGTGGAATTTTCAGGGCAAAGCAGATACCAGGGGAGTCACTGTCAGGTGGGGTGGTGGGAAGTGAGGGGGCATTAACGAAAGCTAGGTTGTGTGTCAACGGTCTTTGTGGGGTCTTCAAGAAAGGTAGCTGATGCTCTTTATTTAAATGAAAGTTAGGCCTGCACTGGAGCTACTGATTCCTTGTCTCCGTGGATTTATTCTGACAGGCTGGAGGGTGGGAGTGGGCATGAGCTAAAAGTCTTGCAATCTTGACGGAACAGAAAATCACACAGAGATATGTCTAATAAAGACACATCACTTTATTTTAAAAACACTCAAACATTGCCAAAAATACTTAGAAAAATAAAGTTTGGTTGGGTTACTTTACTAAACTTCAAGTTACAGGCTTTTATGTTGCAGATGGGGGCAGAGTGTGTTAAGCACATGAAGAATCCAAACCAATTTATCAAAACAGAAAAAGGCTGTCCAGGCTACCACAGGCCCATCTTCAGACACCCACATAATCTTCAAATTTTGTTCTACCAGCTCAGATCTGGGTGAGTGACTGGTTCCAAGGGGGAAGAGCAAGGTAGGGTCACAAACCAAATGAATTTTAAACAAAGACTTTTGTCTTTGCAACACAACAGATATCACAGTCAAGTGTTTAATACTTGCAGAATTGCAGGTTGAAAGAATTCAGGGAGTTAGCAGAACACGGGCACTTAACCAAGGGAAAACCAAATGCTTCCTTAAAAGACGTAGAAAAAGGAGAAAGCAGTGTCTCTGTTCTGTGCATATGTCAGCAGCAACTGGTGTTGAATATTTCAACGTGGCCTCAAATGATAGAAAATGGGGTAAAGTAGGCCAACTTTCTATCAATGTTGGCAGTTTTGCATCCCTCCATAAGAAACTGGGCCTTTTCATAGGAGGAAATTAAAAAGTTTCTTATTAAACAGAATTAAGTAGTGGGATCAAGGAATTTCCAAGCCTCAGGGTATATCATCACTCACTGGTTTTTTGAATTCAATGTTCCCCCTCAAGTAGAAACCCACCACCACGAGCTAAGAGGATGAAAACAGAAGGGTGGTAAAACAACTCCTCTGCCCTCTGCTTACTATGTCTGAAGTCACCAGGTAACTCATTTGGAGGATGCTGTTTTTTAATAAGCATTAAGCAGTTCCTAAAGATTTTGGACAGTTTCTCTCTTTGATGATGGAACCCATTACCATGTTATATTTTGAAAACTCCTTGTTCCTAGCCACTTCCTGATGTCAGATCTTTCTGCTGGGCTCTCTATATCGAGATTGCCTTGCCCTCAATCCCTGCACACGGACCCTCTTTCATAGCTCCTAGGGCCCTGACCCTTCAGCCTGCCCTGTGTCCTTTCCTAATACCTCTTATTTCCTCTGCCTGCAGGGACCATAAGCTTGTTAGACTTTGAACGGTAACAACAGAGTCACCACCACAAAATCCTACAAAGCAGCAGTGACCTCCTAGAGCTAAGTCTTTAAATAGAATTTGGGATTTATGTCTGTATATTATTTAAAGAAGTAAGAATTGCTAGTGTTAAAAAATGATGTCAAAAAGTCCAAAAATGTCAAATTAGAATCACCCCCCTCCATTTTTTTTTTAATCTAAGAAGGATAAAGCTGGGGGTGGGGGGGTGGGGGTGGAATACACCAGACCTCAGGCTAAATAAGGAAGGTGTATATTGGGGCAGCCAGACTAAAGTCTGGAGTGAAAAAACCCTTCAGTGGGGGATTGCTATAAAAAAGGAACAAAAAATAAAGAGAGGGAAGGAAGGAACTTATAGTAAAGAATTATGTGATCTGTCAGGGTATCATATGAAACATAGCCTGAGAATTCCGGGAATCTTCTGGTTCTAAATTCTCAGACCCAGAGCAAAACGGCCCAGGAAGAAGTTTACCTACCTTTTCCAATAATAATTAGAAAAAATACACTGCCCCTTCCTTCCTGCATCGGTACAGAAACTCCTCCAGAGGCCTAGGGCGTGGACCTGTGGAGATGCTTCTGGCACGGGCCCACCCCTTGCTGTCGAGTTCTGTTTATACAGCTTGTCTTAAAACCACTGTGAGTGCATCTTGTTCCGCTTGGGCCACCCTGTAAATACTTACATTGGCGTACTATTTAAAAAGGAATAAGAAGCTTATATTTTCATCTCCTCCTACGCATCTCCAGACCCGACTCCAATGCATGCTGTTGCTTGATGTGTGTCTCTATGGGACCCCTACACTTCCCTTGCTCCTAGGGGGATGGAGAGAAACCTTGATCATTCTCCAAGGGCACGAGAGGCCTTTGAACTTCAGTTCAGTTCGGCAGGTGACCTCATCTGGGCTGTCCTTTATGCCATCAGATTGCTCTAGCAGAGCCCAACCTCTGTCGCATACCCACAGTACAGGGTTGTGGTGGGGAAGCCTCAGCAGTCACGTGGACAGCTCACGAAGTGGATGCACAAATCATGCAAAGTGCTAGAAGCAGCCTTGACTTTGTCCCTCCCCATTTCAAGCAGATCTTTAGAAGCAAAAATGACCTACATGATGAGTTGGGGGAACTATTCGGCTATGAGTGAATTCACGGTCCCAGAGTTTTCATTGCCCACCAGTGAAGAATCTGGGGTGGCCATGCAGTCCTCTAACAGTTTCAGTCTCCGTGCCTCTTGGTCCCCAGTTCTCCCTGACCTTGACGCCTTAGGCCTTCCAGAGACACAACCTGGGAAAGGCAGTTTTTGTTTTTGTTTTTTTTATCACACCTGAGCGGGTGTTACCAGAAAGCTGGGCTCCAGCTCCCCAGGCAGTAAAGGTAGGGGTAGTATGGGTAGCTATTGTACATGGAGATGAGGGGCGCGCGGGAGAAGCCCTCCTCTTTCAGCGCAGGCAAGGAGGCGTGCTTCTCCGGGTCTCCCAAGTCTGAGGTGAGCTGCTTTCGCTTGGTCTTATACCGTCTGTTCTGGAACCATATTTTCACTTGTGTCTCGGTGAGCTTGAGGTTCTTGGCCAGGTGAGCCCTTTCAGGGGCTGACAGGTACTTCTGGTGGCTGAACTTCCTCTCTAATTCAATGACCTGAGTGTGGGAGAAGGCGGCTCTGGAGCGCTTCTGTGGAGGCTTGGGGGCTTGGGGCAGGCTTGGGCGGGCCCCTGAAGTGTTTTCACAGTCTGAGAGGTAAGTCTCAAAGTGCCTATCTGGAAAGGAGAGGGAAGGAGGAGGGAGGGAAGGAAAAAGTTACATGTTACCAGGGAAGAGAACAGAATTCAATCCACCCTTATCTTTTCAGTGAGTGAACAAACAGCCCACTGTCATCTTGGATACATTTCACTTTTTTCACATGACTAAGGTACTCTCCAGAATAGGGAGTGAGACAATCTGTATATTTTGTATTTATTTCTAATGGTCATCAAGAACCTAAAGTTAGAGGTGATTCGTGGTAGAACTTCCTGCCATATCATGTCGAAAGAAATGAGGATTCTGTCCATGTGTGATGAGAGGTGGGAGGCAGCGAAGACAGAAATAAGATACCTGCTGAACAGAAACTCAGAGGTATCCGGTGTTAACATCCGGTGGCAAGAGCGTGCTTGTGTGATAATAGGAGAGGCGGCGCTGACTGAGGGCAAATTTAGTATCTGGCTTTACGCCCCCTTTAAGATAAGAGTTTTTAATGTCTCGGAAGAAGTGATGGGGAAGAAAATATATCTATTCTAAATGTTTCCAACCGTGTTATGTTTTCTGAAGACCTCGGGGAATGCTCATATTTATTGTTTTACTGTCCGTGAGTTCGAGAGGCAAGGTTAAACCTGTAATTTATTAATATTAACACGTCATTATCAGTAACATATTTCGTTATTGTAACAGCCAAGGAGTAACGTGGGGCCTGCGAGCAACGGTTGCACAGGGAACCGGTGCCCGGATTTTCTCTAGGATCTCTGGAGAACTGGGATCGCAGTGAGCACGCTCGCTTTTGAGCCTCGGACGCCAAAAGACAGCGGCGCCGGCCCGAGCTTAGCCTACGCGACCCTACACGAAGGGGCAGAAGCCGCCGGGCCCAGCATCTCTGCAGCCTGAGCTCGGGGAAGTCAGCCTAAGACCAGTCCTGCAGCCTGCACAGGCTGCGGGCCGGCCCGCCCCATAGCGGGACCCCAGCCCGGCCTCACCTACCCGCCGGCTTACCTGGCTCAGTCTCTCCCGCCTCCCCCGACGCGGCCTGGGGCCCCGCGCCCAGCTCGTCCACCGGCTCGCTGGCGCGGCCTCTTCCTCCCTCCGGCTCCGTCTCCGGCTCCGACTCCTGCTCCGGCTCAGGGTCTCGCCTGGGTTCTGGCTGGCGCAGGGGCGGCGGAGCTCGGGGCTGTGGCTCCGCGCCGTCCCGCAGGATGTCTTGGATGAGAAACGAGGTGAGAGGCTTGGACTGGGTGGGCGGCACCGGCGAGGGGCTGAAGCCGGCCGTTCCTGCCTCTTCCGACCGCAGCGCGGGAGCCCTGAGCATCCTGTCGGCTTCGATCCCGTGCCGCCCCCGGGCCGCTCCAGCCCCAGGCAGCGCCCGCAGCTGCCCGCAGCTCCCCGCACCACTTTCACTTTCCGCGGTCCGGCGCACTTATAGTCCCGAGAGCGCGGCGCGCCGCTTTCCCATTGGCTCCCGGGACTCGACGGCGCAGCGGATTGGCCGCCGAGCGTTCCAGGTAAGGAGGGCGGAAAAGGCGAATCTGTCCCACCGTTTCCTCCCCCTCCTCCCTGGAAGATTCCTTCCCTTTTTTTTTTCTTTCTTTCTTGCCTTTGGTTCCTTCTGTCCTCTGCTGTTTTCCTAGGCTGGAAGAGAAAATACAGGCGGGTTTCCTTTGCCCCAACACACCTCGCAAGTTTACACGTGTCTGCAGCAATGATAATGCAGCAAAGAAATACTCTCTTTGGCTCTCCTAAATTGTAAGAGCGTCTTTACTCATGAAAAGATGGGTGGGACAGTCTCTACCATCCCACTTTACAGATGAGAGTTCTGGGTACTCCGTAACGAGGAGAGATGGGGAGAGAGGGATCTACCAGAATCTATTAGGTTTCTCTAAGAGACTTGACAGCTAAGGACAGTCAATACCTGATCCCAGACTGGATTCTGTACTAGACGTTATTGGGGGAAACAGATAAAAGCAGAATAGGAATAGCGGATTAAAGTATTGAATCAATGTCAAACTTACAGAAGTTGGTACAAATAAACTCACGTACATAGGATCAAAGATGCACCAGGTATGTTTCTTACCCTCAAATTGTTCATAAGCAGCAATGTAGATTCATGGAGCCCACTGATAAAATAATAGGTTAAAATATTGACAGTTGGTGCATCTGGGGAAAGGGCATGCCCATGTTCTTTTCAAATTTTCATTTATGCAACTTTTCTATCCATCCTGGTCCAAAGTACCTGCATTGGCTTGGAAGCCTCAGGAGGATGGTACTGGGCGGAGGGGCCAGTGGGTTATTGTGATTAAAGCATCTATTGAAGGGACCCACCTTTGAAATGCAAAGGTCTTTGTGGAGGTTTTCTCCTCTCATTTTTTTTAATTCGATTTTTTTTGACACTTTCTTTTGAAATAGTTTTAGAGTCACAGAAAATTACAAAACTGGTAATCCCGACTCCCCTCAATGATGACATATAACTGTAGTACAATATGGACACCAGGAAATTAATATTGAACTACAAGCTCATTTCATTATTTAGAAACCTGTATTCATTTGTGTGTGTAGCTCACTGATTCTTGCATGCACTGATTCTTGTAAACCCACAATCAAGGGACAGATTATTACAGACTCACAACGGGATTGCCGGTGCTATCTCTTTATATTTCTGTATACCCAAACGCCTTCTTTCCATCCCTGCCTGCTGAACATTAGCCTGTCCTCCCTCTCTATGGTTTTACCATTCAGCGAATATTATGTAAATGAATCAAATTTGTTATCATACATAACATTTGGAATTGGCTTTTTTTCTCCCACACTAAGCATAATGCCCCTGAAACCCACTCAGATTGTATCATGTAGTAATACTTAATAACTTCTGTATTTTTAATAAACATATCACATGGATCTACTAGAGTTTAACTATCCGCATACTGAGGGACAGCAGAGTTTCTTCCAGTTGTTATTATGAATGAAAGTGCTATGAACACTTGTGTATAGGTTTGTGTTAACAAGCATTTTCATTTCTCTAGTATAAATATCCTGGAGTGCAATTACTGGGTTGTATGGCAACATGTTTAGTTTTGAAAGGAACTGTCCACATAGTTGGACCTTCTTAGGTCTCTACATCTGCATCAGCATTGGAAATCATCATTAAAAAGAAAAATTTTAGCTATGCTAACAGGTGTATAATATCTCATTGTAATTTTAAATTTACATTGTATTTCCCAAGTGGCTAATGGTATTATCTTTTTTAATGTTTATTTTTGTGTAGAAGAACTGAGGGCAGGTAGTAAGAGGATTCACCAGAGACAGTGGCGAGTAGAACACGTGGACTGACTGAAATGCACTGGTAGGGGAGAAGCTGGTGGGACAGGAGAGGTCCGCTGCGCCATATGCGTCTGATCCCTGGCAGGGGAATGAGAAGCCGTGATAGACAATCACTAGGCCATCAGGGAGGCCTGATACTGAATATCTTTTCATGTACTCTTGCGGTCTGTACCTGTTGAAATACCTGTTCAAATCTTTTGCCTATATTATAATTGGGTGTAATTTTTTTTTTTTTGCAGTTGAATAAGACTGTTGAATATATAGTTTGCAAATATTTTCTTCTGATGTGTAGCTTGTCTTTTCCTCTTTCTAGCAGTAAATTTTCAAGCACAAAGTTTTTAATTTTGGTGAAGGTATTCTTTTTATTTTATAGATTTTGCTCTTGATGGCATAGCTGAGAACACTGCTTATGCCTAATTAATGAAGATGTTCTCTGGTGCTATCTTCTAAAAGATTTATATTTTATTTTTAAATTCATGATGCATTCTGTATTTCTGTATATGGTGTAAGGTTTTGGTAGAAATACTGGGTGGTATTTCAAATCAGCAGGGGAAATGTGAATTATTTAATAACTAGTTCTGTCATTTGGAACACATAAAGTCCTATTCTTATAACAAAATATATCCCAGATGGCTTAAAGATTTAAAACATACACTGGTACGTGAAGAAAAAAGTTTAACCACGCTCGTCACTAGAGAAATGCAAATCAAAACCACATTGAGGTAACCCTTTTCCACCTATCAGAATGGTAGAGGTTGAAAAGATGGATAATATCCAGTGTTGGTGGGGGTGTAGGGAGACCATATTTCCCACACGGTTGGAGGAAGAGTGAATTAAGTTGGGATATTTCAATGACAGACTATCATCTGTCAAAATTAAAAATGGATGTATCATCCTTTGACACAGATATCCAAGTTTGGAGATTTACCCTAAATTATACAAAGACACAATTTACTCACTTGGCAACATATCCTCAGTTTGGTCAGAGATTGATTCAAGTTGCAAAAAAATGTTGAAGAATGAACCTGTTATGTAAAACAGTAACAAGTTATCTGTATGGAATATATCTAGAAGTGAAAGGAGGCCCCACCCTCCCCCCACTCCCCAGGGCCCTGGCACTTGGCCCCAGGGCACGCTGCTTGCCCTCAGTTTAAGTGGCAGTGAGTGGTGGGCATTTTACCACCCTCTACCAGTGGGCTCAGGTTGCAGGCAGTGAATGCAGTAACAATGGCTCCCCTCCCTGCCCCCCAGGACAGGTGACCCCTGGGTCAGGGCTGCAGGGAGAGCGTGGGTATCAGGGGGCCAGCCACATCCTTGAGGTTTCCTCCAGCTGCAGCGGGTATAGAGGCCTGTGGATTTGGTGCCTGGGTCATAGAATGGACCAATCAGGTGCAAGCTATGAGCTGGTTGGTCCCCAGTAAACCCTAAGATTGAAATGGTCCAATCAGACTTGTAGGTGTGGGACCCTGAAAGAGAATATAAAACAGGGCACAGGCCAGCTTGGGGTGCAAGCTGTACAGCACTCTGTTCCTGAGAGAGACTCTGTTCCTGACCTCCCAAGAAGAAGGAATTCAACAGCCAACCTCCAAAAGAAAAACCAAAAGGCTGTGTGCAGAGAAGCCAACCAGCTTCGCCCAGGCCGGAGGCAAACACCCATGCCTCCAGTCTGCCTGAAAGGGGCACCAAGGGCCCAGGCCTGGTCTCTCAATAGGCTATTTGTTCTTGGTATGGACCAGCAACTCACAAAGAGCTGTGACGCTGGTGTGACTTACACTGCCGCCGAGTGACCGGCCCTACTGGTCAGTGCTGTCCAGCCCTGTCGACTGGTGTCTGGTATTGTGCTCGGTCACTTTGGAGTTCTGTTAACCTGGTGTATCTGGCTGTCCGGCACCATGTCCCAGTGCACTGCCTCTGTTGTGTTCTGGTCCAGTGTCCATCTCGATCTTCAGACCGTGGCTGTGGCTGCTGTGGCATCCTCCCAGTGGCCTGCCTATGAACACCTCCAGCTGCAGTGAGCTGCATCCTGGCCTGCTACTTGCAGACATACCGTGAGCTCCAGGTCCTCATTGGCTGGTGATGCCATCCTGGGCCAGCAGTGTTTTGTTGAGACTTCTGGACTCTGAGCACTATCTGGAGTGAGATCACCAGCCACCTGTGGCCTTAGAAACGCTTTGTTTAACCCACTTGTTAAATGAACCCCATTGGGGACCCACTTGTTAAATGAAGCCCATTGTTGGTCCCCAAGCTGGAGTTGTCTTGCGGTTGTGCACTGAGAAGAGCCCAGACAGTGACCTGCCCTCTGCTGGACACTGTCCCTGGGATGCTACAGCCCTGCTACAGAGGATGTGAATATCTCAGTAGAGCAGTTACTTTGATCAGTGAGAAGATAGCAGATTGGGAGAAGGAAAAAGGGATTGGAAGTTTTCCTTCTACTAGTTTATAATGAGCAAAATTTAAAATTTTTGAGCAGAAGTCAAGTCCGGGCTCCCTTCACTACCTCCTCAGATCTCAGAGGTCCCGTCCAAATGCAACACAGCTCCTAGCACTGTCCCTCACCTCACTTAATACATGCTTCCTTTGTGTTTTTCATTTGGTTGTTTAGGCCTATTTTTTAGATGGTGAGCTCCCTGATCCAAGCAAGAACTGTCCCATTCTCACATTCATGCCATCTTTTAAGGTTAAGTCTTGCTACACAGGGTCCTCCCTGGTGGCGCAGCGGGTTAAAGCACAGCACTAAGAAGCTAAAGCCACTTCAGCATGAGTTCAATCCCTACCTGCCCTGAGGTGACCCACGTGGCGTGGCAGACCTCTCCTGACCTGCCCACTGCTCCTCTCAGCAGTGTACTTCGTCAGTCACCTGCTCTGCTCCCCACTCTGTCTCTGGTGAATCCTCTCACTGCCCCTGCACCTCTGGCCTGTACCCCAGTTCTGTATGCATAAATACATAAATCTTAAGAAGAAAAAAATTTGCCTCACAGAAGCTGCTCAGTCCAT